TTAGTTGGGGGGTTGAAGTTAATAACATGCGCTAAGCCCTTCACTTGGTCTGTCTGCAGCAGCAAATCTGTTGCTACCAGCACAAGTGGTGCTGCTCCTGCTGCTGCTGCTGCTGCTGGATCTGGTGATCCTGCTGCTGGATCTGCATCTGGTGCTCCTGCTGTTGTCGTTGCTGCTGCTGCTGCTTCTGGATGTGTTGTTGCTGCTGAAGCAGATGGTGCAGCAGCAGCAGCAGCAGCTGCTGCTGCTGCTGCTGCTGCATTTGCTGCAGCAGCAGCAGCAAGACGGCGCCGCATTGAGAGCCCCTTATAATATCCAGCAACTGGCCACCCGTGCTGCTGCAGCAGCCTCACGATTTCTTTGCTGCTGCTGCTGCTGCTGCAGAAAACAACAGTTAAAGCAGCAGGGATCTGCTGCAGCAGCAGCAGCAGCAAATTGAAACGTTCCTTAAACACAGCAGCACTCACCAGCTGCTGCCGGTCTCGCTGCATATCAATATCCCCCAAGCCCTCCAGCAGCAGCTGTTGCTGCTCCTGCTGCTGCTGTTGCTGCTTCTGCAGCAGTTTTTGCTGCTGCTCCTCACTGTCTCTTCTGGACCCGGCCCGTAGAGCGCGCTGCTGCTGCTGCTGCTGCTGCTGCTGTTGCTGCTGCAGCAACTGCTGCTGCTGTTGCAGCAGTTGCTGCTCCCGCCGCAACTCATCCCATGATGGGTACTGCCTCTCAACCTCGCGTTTAACATCATCATCATTTATTCGCAGCCACAGCTGCTGCTGCTGCTGCTGCTGCTGCTGCTGCTGCTGCTGCGGGGCATACACATGAGCAGCAGTGCTGAAGCGCTCCAGCAGCAACACCCCGCTGCTGCAGGGGCCCCCAAAGGAGACAGCAGAGCCGGTAAAGAGCAGCTGAGTTGGAGGAAGCCGGCCCGCCTGCACACACAAACACTGCTGCTGCTGCTGCTACTGTTGCTGTTGCTGCTGCTGCTGCTGGGGTTGGTGCTAGCAGCAGCAAACACGCCCTATTCTTTCATGAGCGCCGCCAGATACAACAGCAGCAACAGCAACAGCAGCAGCAGTACAATCATCATCAGCAGCACGAGCAGCAGCAGCAGCAGCAACAGCAGCACGAGCAGCAGCAGCACGAGCAGCAGCAGCAGGCTACCTTTAACTTAGGGGTAGAGGGAATATTAATAGGGGGCCTCGGTCTGAGTTTGCTAAGGATAGCACAGCAAATATTTTTAGTTTTGTTTTGCTGCAGCAGCAAATCGGCGTCTTCAAAGATAACAGCAGCAGGCAGCGGCGAGCCCAAATAGCCGCACAAACAAGACCAGAAAGAAGAAGGGGTTGCTAAGACGAAGTCGCAGCAACCCCACCTAATAAACACACACACATTTATATATATATATATATTTAAATATATTTATATCTATTTATATCTATTTATATTTATATGTCTTTATGTTTATATTTATGCTTGTCGTTATATCTACATTTCTATCTATTTATATATTTATATACACTAACAAAACCAAAAAGAAAAAGGGGTTGCTGCTAATGCTGCTGCTGCTGCTGCTGCTGCTGTGTTGCTGCTTTGCTGCTTGGCTGTTGCTGCTGCGGTGCGGCCACCGCCGCAGCAGCAGCAGCCAAGCAGCAGCAGCAAATGCAGCAACAACTGCTCACCGTATCCTTGGTCCGTATATTGTAGGAACCCTCACGAACTCCTGCTGCATCTGCTGCTGCTGCTGCTGCTGCTGCTGCTCCAACTGTTGTTGTTGTTGCTGCTGCTGCTGCTCCAGCGCCTTGTTTGCTGCGATTATCTGCACCGTTTGAGGGTCCTTCAGCAGCAGCCGCCTCCAGCTGTCTCCCAGCTGTCTCCATTCCTCAGGGGGGATATCCTCTAGCTGCTGCTGCTCCTGCTGCTGCTCCTGCTGCTGCTGCTGCTGCTGCTGCTCCTGCTGCTGCTGCTGCTGCTGCTGGTGGAAGTCTCTACCTACGTCGCTTAGCAGCTGCACTGATATCCTCCCTAGCGGGTCTAGCTGCTGCAGCAGCTGCAGCAAAGCAACTGCTTTATCTTGAGTTGGTAGCAGCACCACAACAGGACGAAGCAGGCCCAGGGGGTTTGCTGCTGCTGCTGCTGTTGCCTCTTCTTGCTGCTGCTGCTGCAGCTGGTGCAGCTTCTCCTGCTGCTGCTGCAGCAGCGCATCTCTCTCGTCTCCTTCTAGAACCTCCAGCGGAGGCAGCACCGCATGTCTCAACCCCTCTGCAACAGCAGCTTTTAATAAAGACAAGGAAATGCTCTCTGGGAGCCCCCCAGCAGCAGCAGCAGCAGCAGCAGCAGCAGCAGTTGGTGCAGCAGCACCACCAGATGGAGCGGCAGTAGCAGCTGCAGCTGCTGCTGCAGTGTGCGCAGTCTCCCGGCTGTCTCCTGCTCTCTCCACCTGCTGCTGCTGCTGCTGCTGCAGTTGCTGCTGCTGCTGCTGCTGAATAAGGTCGTGGGTGAGATAAAGTCTGTTAATAATCGGAAGCAGCAGCAGCATTAATTTATTGTTTTTGAAGCCTCCCCTTAGCAGCAAATCTCTCCCTCTAGAAGCAGCAACAAAAGCAGCAGCCTCACGACCGTCTAAAACCCTAAACCCTAAACCCTTTGCTGCCTCTGCTAATGCCGGGTGTATGTACAGCTCATCGATTCTAACATTTTTTTTCGTCTCCAAATTCATAAACACAAATTCACAAACACCCCCCACAGCCCCTCCATCAACACGCTCTCTATAACCACTCTTACTCATACAGGGGCCCCCTTCTTGGGGGCCCCCCTCTTGGGGGCCCCCCTCCTGGGGGCCCCCCTCTTGGGGGCCCCCACTATGGAGGGGGGCCCCCTTACGGGGGCCCCAAAGAAGTGTGGGGTCCCCCTTATGGGGGCCCCCACTTTGTAGGGATCCCCATTCTTTAGAAGGGGGCCCCCATACGGGGGCCCCTGATTTCAAGGGGCCCCCTTCCTCTCTTAGGGCTCCATTGGGGGCCCCCCCGGGGCCCCCAATGGGGGGCCCTTCTGAAACCCTATTGGGGGCCCCCTCTAGGGCCCCATTGGGGGGCCCCCCTGGGGCCTTATCGGGGGGCCCCCCTGGGGCCTTATCGGGGGTCCCCCCTGGGGCCCCATTAGGAGGCCCCCCTGAAGCCTTACGGAGGGGGCCCCCGGGGGCCCCCCTTGGGGGCCCCTGTGTGGGTGGTGTGTGTTGTAGGTGTTTAGGGTTTAGAAAGGGGGCGGCGAATTGAGGCGGGGTAATCGGCGTCATAGGCAAATCCCGCAGAGATAAACGACGACGCCCAAAGGAATAAACATGCTGCTGCTGCTGCTGCTGCTGCTGCTGATGCTGCTGCTGTTGCTGCGGCTGCTGATGTGAATGCTGCTGCTGCTGATCATAATGTTGTTGTTGTTGTTGTTGCTGCTGCTGCTGCAAGGTGTAAGTGCTTCTCTTTCGTATTTGGTGAAGGCGATGGGGGCCCCCAAAGGGGCCCCCAAAGGGTTTGAGGGAGGGGCCCAAGGGGGCCCCCCGGGGTCTGAAAAGCATCTTGCGTTGCTGCTGCTGCCGCAGCAGCAGCAGCAGCAGCGGCTGCTGCTACTGCTGCTGCTGCTGGTACTACTACTGCTGCTGCTTCTGCTGCTGCTGCTGCAGATTCTGCTGGAAGAATGCAGCTACGGCAGCAACAGCAGCAAGACACGCAGCAAATGCAGCAGCAGCAGCAGCAGCAGCAGCAGCAGCAGCTGCCGCTGCTGCAGCAGAAGGGCGGAGGGAGCCTCTTGCTTCTGTGCTCACACACAACACGCAATATCTAAAGCTGCTGCTGAGGTTGTTATTACTGCTGCTGCTGCTGCTGCTGCTGCTGCTGCTACTGCTCGGGTTCAGGTTCTGCTTCTTCGGGCCCGCCTCCAGGACCTCCAAACCCCAAAACAAAGAGTTTTAGGTTTAGGGTTTAGGGTTTAGGGTTTACGATGTATGGTTTAGGGTTTAGGGTTTAGGGTTTAGGGTTTAGGGCAGAAGACGCAATGCAAACCCTCGTGGGGCCCCTGGGGGCCCCTTTGACTGCGGGGCCCCCTTGGGGGCCTTCGTCAGCTTCCTAAACCCTAAACCCTAAACCCTAAACCCTAAACCCTAAACCCTAATTTGTTCGGTTGGTTCAACTTTAGCCTTCTAGAGAAAACTCAGCAAACCACCGAAACCCTAAACCCTAAACCCTAAACCCTAAACCCTAAAGGCCCTCCGCAAGCCTTGTGCCTCAACACCTCAGGCATGGGCTCTGTGTCCTAAACCCTAAACCCTAAACCCTAAACCCTAAACCCTAAACCCTAAACCCTAAACACTAAACGCTAAATTTGAAGCCTTGATCCCTAAACCCTAAACCCTAAACCCTAAACCCCAGGCCCAGGGCCTCTGCTCAACCCTGAGGCGCTGGGCACTTCGCCCTAAACCCTTCACTCAAACCCTAAACCCTAAACCCTAAACCCTCACCGCGAGGGTTTAGGGGCTATTAGGGGTTAATAATAAGTGATGGCGCAGCTGCAGACGAAGAGACAGCTGGAGAGACAGCAGGCTGCAAGAGAAGAACTCCTGAAGCACCTGCAAGTACTACAGGTAGGGTTTAGGGTTTAGGGTTTAGGGTTTAGGGTTTAGGGTTTAGGGTTAGGGCTGTGCCGGCTCTGCTTCGCAATGCAGATGTGCAGACACCAGACGCTGCCGCTTCTGCTGTTGGCGCTGCAGCTGCTGCAGCTGCTGCAGCAGCAGCACCACCGCCAATGCTGCTGCTGTTGCTGTTGCGACAGCAGTTGTTATAATTGCTGTTGCTGTTGCTGCTGCTGCTGCTGCTGCTGCTGCTGCTGCTGCTGCTGCTATGTTTCAGGATGCCCTTATATTTCTGCAAGATGGGGCCGACGGTATTTGTGGGGTTTCCCGGCGGGCACTGGAGGAGGCAGCAGACCCCTGCAGCAGCAGCAGCAGCAGCAGCAGC